GTCGACTCAGTTACATTATACGAAGTTATACGATAAATGATATAATAATGTATGTTAAACAAAATATAACGCATCATAACAAACATATCGAGAATTTGCAATAAATATAACACAGAAGCGTACAAAATACTTTTTATTTTACAGCTTGTAAAATAACAAGCATGCTGAGGTAATGCATTCAACAAGAATCCAGTATTATCACATTGGCTTCGTAAAATATCATTAAAGCAAATTTTTTCATTCATAATTACGCATTATTGTTGACATATATATATCATTAATCGCTAGCTACGTATAAACGTCCCTATTTCCTTTCTTTCACTCTAGCTTTTCTTCTTGATATTTTCTTTGCTCTTCACGTCAACGTTCCAGTAGAGAAGCTACGCCACTATTTATACCGTTTGCCAGAGTGGAGCACATGTACATCGTTATTATAGTCGTGTCATCCGTTTCTTGAAAAAGCCGAAAAAGAGCATAAAACACGTTGCCGTCGATAATAGGCCGGTATTTCCATTGGTATAATTTGTACAGGCTTGAATAAACTGTAACAATCCCATATAAAATTGTGGATTAACATATTTGCAATGTATGCAAGATAAGAATAGCGAGTTTTCAAAAGTAAGTACAATTGGCTGATTAGTTATAACAATAATTTAAATAAATATAATTAATTATAGCAGTAATATAATATAAATATGATGTAATCTTTTAATAACATACCTTATCTGTATCTGTAATATTCGTCTAACAGATGGTTTACATTTCTATTATGACAGTAAGTAAAAAAATCATAAGAATAGGATATGCGACGGGGTAATTCTCCTCGAGTAAAAGATCCTCCACAAATCCTCCGCAAACGTTAATCCGAGATACATATACATCGAGAAAAAGACACACAGTAACGATAACCTCACTTGTCACTGGAAAAAATATATGCGTTCAGCAGAGTATTATCACATTGGCTTCGTAAAATAGCAAATTTTTTTCATTCATAATTACGCATTATTGTTGACATATATATATCATTAATCGCTAGCTGTGTTTTGTACTTCAGCGGGGAATAATTAAATTCACACACTGTCTTTTCGCGTAAGCGTTTATTAAAATATTTATTCAAGTTCGAAACTTCTCGCAAGCGATCGTTGTCGCGTCGCGCTCGCACTGCACGGACGGCGCGTTAAGATATTATTTTAAATCGGCCTGTTGACCGTGTCGATCGTAGTAACGCGTCGAAAGATTGTTTGAGCCGGTCTGTACACCGTATCGATCGCGGATCGCAGCAACGCCTGGGGACAATGCCCTGAGCTGGACCGCGAGATTTGAGACAACGCCTGGGGGCTGTAGCCCTGAGTCTCTTGTCACGGATCCGCGACAACGCCTTGGGGCTGTAGCCCTGAGTCGCGGATGGCTCGACCACGCACTATGCACAACTCGAACTTGGCTCGAAAGAGATATTTCTTTATAGCAAACTTCGTCGACTGATCGCTTCCGTGGCTATCGATCGAATGGTAAAAATCGCCCTTTATTTACTCGCGATCGTTGTTCGCCCCACCAACCAGGGTTGATTCTTATTGGCGCGGTAACTACACAGGATTTCCTGTTTTTAAGACCGCTGTCCTTTAGACCGCCGCCGCTATCGCTAAATGTTTTGATCGATGCCGCGTGGAAATCTCAAAGATACCGCATGGAAATCTCAATCGATGCCGCGCACACGTGCAAGGGTGGCCGAGCTGTCCGTGTTTGCGCGTTCGAACGTGTGTCGCATGTATGTGTCGCATGTATTTTTGTGTTACGCATGTCGTGCACGACCCTCGGTCTCGTCGTTACAAGCTGTGTATAAACGTTCCTATTTCCTTTCTTTCACTCTAGCTTCTCTTCTTAATCTTTTCTTTGCTCTTCACGTTGACGTTCCAATAGTAAAAAAAGCTATGCTACTATTATACCGTTTGCCAGAGTGGAG